AATATCAATCACATCATCAGTTCAACAAGGTATTAACTTTTCACTTTAAATTTCCCTAAAATTATATTACATAATCCTGACAATCACAAATCGCAACACACAAATTGTTCAAAAAAACCCATTCTTTATCTCTATATACTCATGCATCCTGTCGAAATTGCGTAATTCAGAAACATACCTCACCAAGCAAGAAACACCGATCACAATTCTCCTCTGCTATCGCTCTTCACCTTCGACTTCAGTCTTAATCGCAATTCCAGAAATTTTTTATCTTTGAATTTTGAGGTTTTTTTTTTGGTTCGTATAATAGAGCACAATTCAGAGGAAGTAAATATGAAAATGAATGTTGTACTCTCTTTTTAGAGGGAAAATGGGGAATTATTTGACAAAATTAAATGCCCTCTCAACTACCATCATTAATGATGTCCATGGACCCCACCAAATATATGTTTTGGCTCCTTTGAGGGTACAGTGTACAAGTTTGTAAAAGCGTGGGTACAAGTGAGAAATTGAACAAAGACGAGGGCACAACTTAGAATTTCTCAATTTGTTTTGTATTCTCTGATTTGAGCTAGTACCATAAAAATTACTCGGTTAAGGTTTTAAGGAAATGTTTTAAGCCCTTAAGTTTTAAATTTGAGGTCGAAATTAGCATAAAATGCTTAAAATATCTCGATTTACATGCAAAAAATGTCAAGATTTGCATATTTCAATTCATTTTATGAAAAAAAAAAGTCCGATTAAAGTTTTAAGGGTCAATATGACCTTAAAGGATCAAACTTTGAAATTGGAATTCGAAAAAATGGACCACAAATGTCCTAAACTAATGTTTTATTTAATGGGATGTTATGGTAGATAATAAGTCAATATTACAATAGTACCATGAGGAATAAGAACAAAAATTGGATACCAAAATGGAAAAGCCTAAAGTGCAATAGTATCAAATGGAAAATCCAAAACAAATGTAAGAACTAATAAAGAGTGGAAAAACCAAAATCATACAATCATCATTACCAAAAGGATTTTATTTATTTATTTTATTTTATTTTACCACCAAAAAATAACCCACTTTTTGAACTAACCCTCTGTTTTAATTTTAATTTGAAAATAACACCTAAAAAAAAACGATTTCATTATCACTTAACACTTTCTATCAATAAAACCGTTAAATCTACCATTTTTTTTAAAAAAATTCTTCTATTTCCATGCCAAAAACGTGTTCTTTAGAGATTATGGGATCAATTTGGTCCTGTAGAGACCGATTTGAGGTCAAATTGACAAAAAGTTATCAAAATGCCTCTTAGCATACTAAAAAATATATCGGCTTGCATGATGCCCTCAAAACAAGGCAATTTTGATAATCTTTTGTCAATATTGACCTCAAAGTGGTCCTTTAGACTAAAATAACCCTCAAAACCTTAATAGATCTAGTTTGACACGGAAATTGATGATTTTTTTATTTTAAAAAAAGAGATTTGAAATTTAACGGTTTTTAACAAAAAGTGTTTAGTGGTGGTGAAATTTTTTTATTTTTTTATTCTTTTTTTGTAGTATTTTAAAATTAAAATGGGTGGTTAGTTCAAAAAGTGGATTCATTTTTTGATAGTAAAATCCAAAAAATCCTTAATAAAATGTAGGAGGAAAGATAAAGTTGCTAGACAAGCTATTATTTTCCTATTTTCTCTAATAATAAATAATACTCGTAGTAACTATGATTATGTAAATGCCGACTGTTTAACTGGATTAAATTTGGGTTCATACTCAAGACTTGATTTTAAACCCCGCCTACATCAGCTTTCTCTATAACAAAAAAATAACCAAGATTCTACCTTCACCTTAGTCAAATATCCTGCAGGTTGCATGTACTCTTCTAGAGAGTTCATAAATTTACATTTCATTTTCGGCCACTTTTTGTTGTAACATATTTGAAGGGTAGATAATTTAATGTTTACTAATCTAATAAATGATGTTTCGGCATTAATTAAAGATCTAATATTGTCCAAGGAACAAAACTTGCATAATGAGTACCTAACTTTAATTATCAAACAATATAATCTCCTTAGTACTTTAGTATATAATATTGACAAATATTTGCTGTTGAATATAACAATAACAGAACTGTCTTTTTCCTGTTGGCTTCTTAATTATAAATTCTCTCATAATCATGCACACCTGGAAGGCTAGTTAGTTCACTTACATGCCTAAATTAGAAATATTAGGTGACCAAAATTAATTACTTTTGACTTATCTTTGCAAGTAATTTCACTATAAAATTCAACTCCAATGTTATTATCTAGCATTCAATCTACTCCTACTCTTAAGGAAAAAAACATACAACAAAGAAAAAAATTCTCTGTTTTCTATTGTCTTATAACACAAAAAATGGATTCACTAGTCGCGATGGTGCTAGTCATGACCATGTTGTCGGGTGGAGCTTTGGCTCAATCAGGGTGCACATCTGCAATAGTGGGCTTAGCCCCGTGTCTTAATTATATCTCAGGAAGCTCTTCCGCCCCGTCCTCTTCGTGCTGCTCGCAACTATCTAGTGTTGTTAAATCACAACCTCAGTGTCTTTGTCAAGTCCTTAATGGTGGTGCCTCTAACTTTGGAGTTACCATCAACCAGACCCAGGCTCTAGCCCTCCCAAGCGCCTGCAACGTTCAAACTCCTCCTGTTAGCAAGTGCAATGGTAAGCTTCCCCTCTTCCATTTTCTGTTAGTTAGCTGGTGAAGTTAATAAAAGTTTGCACCAATTATATTATTGCATGCCAAATCAAGGGTCTTAATTTTAAAAGTGTGCATATTATATATTAAAACTTAATGCATTATGAATATTAACAAAGATATTGTATGATATGTTGCAGCTGCAAACCAGCCATCAGGAGGAACCTCTGCAGCATCCCCTGTTGGTTCCCCAACTGCTTCGCCTGCTGATGCCTCGACACCAGAGGGTTCAGTCAATCCTGACGACTCTCCAACATCGCCAACAGTCTCTAGCACTCCTTCAGCTGGTACGTACCTATCCTAGTGCTAAAGCTTATTTATGTGCTTTTTAACAAAAAAAAATTCTTGCTAAGTTAATGAAAATATCCATTAATAATTGATATATGATTGCAGGAGCTGGATCGAAATCAACTACCGGGAGCACATCAAATGGGAACATGACCAAACTTTCATTTCATTTTACCCTTTTCCTTCTCTTCATCACTTCAAGTGTTTCCGCAATCATTGCAGTTTGAAGTAAGAATAATCCATAGTGCTTAAGAGCTTGAAAGGTTTCGGTTTTGATCAATATGTTCATTTGATCTATAACATTATACTCCATATATGATTACTTTTGTATAACCATATACTTCTTGTATCATTTACTCCTACTTAATAATAATTCTTTTGTACGAAAACTTATTATTAGATCCTAGTTTTGTTACAATTCTACAAGTAGACATCATGCAGTCAATGTGAGTAAATGAATACATGGAAAAAGGGCTAACTTTACATATTTAGAAAGTATCATGAAGAGAAAAAAAGGACTTGAGTAAGTAGGCTAGTTATAAAATCAAAAGGAGGGGGTTAACTTATAGAGGTTGTAAGCTAATAAAAGAAAGAAGAGGAGTGTACACAATTTTAAAGCCAATTAAGGCGTTAATGTGTTAATTATAAACCCTAAGAGTTAATTTCCACAACAAATCAATGCATTACATAAGGTGTTAATGTGTTATGCATGTTACCATTATCAAATACGGAGTAATGCATAGTGTGTCGTAGGAAACAAGGTTTTTGCCTTCTATAAGGAGTAATCCATATTAATTTTGTGAAATTGTCCATATTACAAATATGAAAACATCATCAGGTGTATCTTGTTTGAATTCCTCGATGTATATTTGTACTCATAGGTGATTAAATACGAGTATAGTAGTCAAAGATGTGCAATAGAAAAACGAGAAAGTTAAGCGTTAGCCAGAATAAGAATTCATTTACAACAGAGTTCGTTAGTATCGAGTCAAGGTTTGGTGTTCGCAAGTTATGGGGGTAATAGTTTTATATTTAGTGCAACAGAGTTGAATCTTGCACTGCCTGATGTTCCAAGCAAAAGCTAAACCCCTAAAAGAAAAAAAAAAAGAAACCTATATTATGAAGATGTAAACTAAAATTACTTTGTAAAACAAAAAAGCTATCAAATCGTATGATACATCATCATCGAAGGAAACAGGATAGTAGACTAAGTACTAAGTTCAATAGGCATGCAGGAGTGCAGGACCATCCAAAATCACTTCATTTCTGCCAACTTGTTCTTTCCCAGCAGCTCTAACTCCCAAACTAGAAACATATATTCTCCATATTTTCTTTATCTAAACAGGATATTATGTAGCCATATACGAATAGTACTGTACACGTAATCACGTGTAATATGTGCCACACCCATGAGCAAGATGCGAGCTGCAAAACACCACAGGCACCTGCTCCATGTTATAGGTGTGTGAAGCAAGCGCCTATGCCAAAGTTTAGGCATGTAAAGTGCCTCGGATCAGCGTTTAAAACATAATACATATAATTTACCTGTTGTGCCAACGACAAAGGTTCATCATCACCCAATTCACCCCACAGACCCACAGCATAGCCTCCCTGAGATGTACGCAAATCGTCATCACCATAATTGTAACCACCAGAATAGTACCAATCGAAAAGTTGGGTTGTTTGCAGGAAATTATGTTGGCATTTGGCATGACTGAGTATCATAAAGCTGTTAGTGGCGGCGAGAGGCAACTATTATGGTTAAAGAGTGATGTTCTGGTTGCAAATAGCAATTCAATTAACAATACAAAATATGAAAACAATACTTCGTTCGTTGCTTAACACATTCAATAAGTTGACTTTATTATACAATCAACAAAAGTCAACTTGTTGCATAAACGAAAAAAGTAATAAGTTTGATTAAAGTACATGCAAATGATGCCACTACTGAGTATAGATGAACTGTTATCAGAATTATTGAAACAAAACTAAGCAAAAAATCGATAGATAGCTAACAAAATTCAATAACACAAGTTAAGGAAATTAATTAAACCACTATGAATTAATGGTTGAGAATTAAAACAAATTAAACCACTAAGATTTAATGGTTGAGAATCTTAGAGCCTAAAGCACACGAGTTCATGAAATTTCAAATCACACGGTGCTTAATTATTAACCAAAAACAAGGTGCTCGATTATTAACAAAAACTCCCAATTGAGAACTCTTCGCTGTCTGAAAGAGAAAGGACAAAACTGATTTCAATTGAAGAATGATTATTGTTGCTTCATCAATTGACGAATAACGTATGGAAGGATTCCACCATGGTCGAAATAGGCCAGCTCAACCTACAAAACAATTACAAACAATCATTATTCCTTAATTTAGCCGCTCAAGTACCCAAGCAAAATAAATTAAAACAAACAAATCTAAATGTAAAGATGTAAATACGCACCTCTGTGTCAAAGCGGAGGGTGCAAACAAAGGACTTTCCATTGTCAGTTGTTACTGTGACATCTTGTCCTGGTCTAATCTCGCTAACTTTAGAAGGGAGGTCAATTGTGTATCTCTCATGACCGGTTAGCCCTAATGTTTCAGCATCCTCACCAGCCTTGAAGCATAGCGGGATAACTCCCATACCTACAAGATTACTACGGTGGATCCTCTCAAAACTCTTAGAGATCACAGCTTTCACGCCCTGTCATCAAATCATTTATTTCCATTATTAAGCAACATTTTCACAAAAACAAGAGTAAAGGAACTTCATACACCATTTAACACTTACCTGCAACATTGGACCTTTAGCAGCCCAATCCCTTGAACTACCACTTCCATACTCAGCACCGGCTAGGACAATGGTGTCATGACCAGCCTCCTTGTACCTCTGCAATTGAGATTTAGATTGAGATTAATTTTTCACATCTCATGCAATTAACTTCAATTACTAGGCACTAGCAAAACGGAAGAGTCACCATAAATATCAAAAGCAAAAAATAAAGAGAGTTAGCTTTTACCATTGCAGCATCAAAGACATACAACTTCTCCCCAGTTGGAATGTGAATTGTTTTTGGACCCACTTCTCCATTCAAGAGCTTGTTTACAATGCGAATGTTTGCGAAGGTACCCCTTGCCATCACTTCATCATTGCCTCTACGGCTACCATATGAGTTGAAATCTTTGCGATCAACCCCACGTTCTAGTAAAAACTTGGCTGCAGGACTATCCTTGTGGATGCTCCCTGCTGGTGAGATATGATCGGTAGTGATACTGTCGCCGAAATTGAGAAGACAATAGGCATCCTTTACTCCAAAAGGTCCAGGTGGATTCAAGCTCATATTCTTGAAATATGGGGGTTCATGTATGTATGTGGAATTTGAGTCCCACTTGTAGAGGGTGCCAGCAGGAACTTCCAGAGAATTCCACATTGGGTTCCCCTTAGTGATAGCTTCATAGGTACTTTTGAACATGTCGGGCAGTACGCTTGATTGCACAACCTAAACCAGCAAATAGAGCATTAAAATTCATTGCCCATCACAAAAACAATGCATAGAGAGAGCCTAATACAAAGGTCACGTACCTGAGCTATCTCATCATTGCTAGGCCAAATGTCTCTGAAGTAAACACTCTTCCCATCCTTCCCAGTACCAATAGGATCTTTATCAAAGTCAATATCAACCTATAAAACGCAAGATTAATTGGGTCAATCAATACTTTCAGATGTATCCCCTTCAATAAAAATATACATCTGAAGATGGAAGAAAAGACCAAAAGAAAAAGGTACTGAGAAAAATAGTGAATTCTGTGCGTATTGGCTCTGCCCCTAATAAAATGAATTAATGGTCATTATTTATTTCACTGTGCACAGACCGCACTGCACAGATATGTGGAAGACATCCAGAAGATGAAACTTATAATGATTAACCAAAAGCATGTAGCTAAGCTCATTTTTCCCAGGAAACATATGTATTATGTAACACATGACCCGGACAGGACAGTAAAGAAGCATGGATTACTAGTATACACAAGCACCAGACAAGGTTGCCTTACGAAGCACAAACCCCTGACAACAGTGACAGCTAGATTCATAGTTTCATACCAATTCTACATGAGTTGTCCCACAAAACCCCTAGAATCGAGGCACTAAAACCACTAGAGGATGTGATCACTGTCAAATACAATGCAGATATATCACTCATAGAAGCAATATCCTTCCACAAAAAATTCTTGACACATCATTATAATTCATACACCCAAGGTTGTATCCAGATCGCAAAATATGTCGAACTTTATTCAGCTCTGTATACCTAAAGAGTTCTAGGATTGTCCCTCAAGGCGCATCATTACAATTCGATTCACCCAAGGTTGTATCCAGACTGCAAGATATGTAAAAGGTTCTTTATATATATTCCTTCAGAGATCTAGGGCTGTTCCTCAAATACACCCATTTGTAGCAGCTTGAGTGCGCTAACAGAACAACTTAGAACAAACATAGCATCTTACCCTTGTTCATTAATACTAAAGTTTAAACTCCTCATGGCCTCATCAAAACAGATTTTTTTAATATTTACACAGACTCGATGTTAAAACTCCAACAGAGCTAGAATTATCTAAATGATGCAGTTCCATGATTTATCAAACTTCCGTGAGGTATTATTGCATTATCAAATACACAACTGAAAATATCAAATACACAACTAAAAAATAGACAACCTTTAGATACCATAAATAATCAGAGCTCAAACCTGCATCTGTTTCAAGGCCTATATTTTGACTATCATATACAACCATTAAATACATATATCGTGCTTATCAGGAATCAGTGGATAATTATGTGTACTTACAGTTCCAGCCAATGCATAAGCAACAACCAATGGAGGAGAAGCAAGATAATTGGCTCGTGTCAAAGGGTGAACACGACCTTCAAAATTACGGTTACCAGAAAGCACAGCTGCTGCCACAATATCTGCATAAAGAAACAAGGCATACCACATTAGATTATAAGAATTTCTTAGTAGCACAAAAGTACTCCTAATCAAGTTATATAAATGTCACTGTCACTGAATTTCCATACTGTATATGAGCAAGTTTTACATATTTTTACATTTTAAAGAGCTAGTCATATGTAGCTCTGCGCATTTCAGGGTAACCACACAAACAGGCTTGTAGCAAAATTCAAGAAATAGAAAAGCAACTGTGATATGAACCACAATACAGAGCCAGAACTACATTCGGAAACTTTCATCAAAAAGATTTACACTAGAATGTAGCACTACAGACAAAGCTAAAGCATAAATTTACATTTATACAAAGGACGTACCATTCTCAGAAATAGCGGCAGAAACAGATTCATCTAGATCACCAGAGTTTCCAATACAAGTTGTGCAACCATAACCAACAATGTTGAAGCCCTGTTGATCCAAGTATTTCTGCAGACCACTATATAAAACACAAACCAAAAAAAATAAATGACCCATAAACATGCATTTTGATTAACTTAATTAAACATTTATGTCATCAATAAATGACAGAAACCATTACCTCTTCTCCAGATATTTTGTAACTACTCCAGATCCAGGAGCAAGACTGGTTTTAACCCATGGCTTGACCTGTTGAAAAAATCATCATATAATTGGCTTTTGGATGATTGAAAAAAAGCAAAACAATCTGCCAAATAGTATCCAAAACAATTGCCAAATAAAACAAAATGATGTACATAATCCCCCACCCTCTCTAGAGGAGGAGCTGAATGAGGCACTTTAACTTAAATAGTAACAAATTCAAAAACAAAAACCAGACAACATAAACATCCAACAAAATAAATTAAGGTTTTGGCACAAAATAAACTAGATTAATGGTTTTACTACTTATAACCATAAATCAATTTCTTTTCCCTTTCAGAATAATTTATGTGATAATTTATAGCTGCAAACAAGAAAACATCGGATAAAAACAAGTAAGTTTAATTTACTTAACCTACTAAAACAAGCCATCACGCAGAAACTAGGCAGTTGTTCACTTGTTTTAATTCTAATAAAATCAAAACCCACATACAAGCAGAACAGTAAGTGCAAGACATCCTCATATTCAGAATTGGTAAAATAAAAATCTATACTAGAACCACCCATCCTGTTCACAACAGTTTATACTTACTGCATTGATAAACATTAAACAAGTACTTGCATAATATAATGTCATACAAGATTAAACGAGCTTTATTTAATAAAAGAAGTATCACTCAAAGAACTTGTTCAATTCATACAACTGACCACCTTTCAAATGCCATTGAACCAAGGAATATTAACAAACATATCATAAATATGTTGATACATCATCATTTTTTCACAGAATAATAAAGGTAAATAGCCAATCCCTGTCACACAGAGGTAAAAGCATCATCTTTAGAGTCAAATCTACTGACCTCCAAACCCAACTCAGTAGCTTTCTTAGCGACCAAAGCAGCACCCAACATAACACTTGGGTTTGATGTGTTTGTGCAACTTGTTATAGCTGCTATGACAACACTACCATGCTTCAATTCAGCAGGCTGGCCATGGAATGAAAACTTAGCAACTTTATCCTGCTCTTCTTTGGGAATAGCAAAACCCTAACACCAAAAGAAAGTCCATAACAATCAATATGAATTGTGTAAACCAAAGTGGAGTGGTGAAATGAGTAGTACAACAAATTAGAAAAACAAGTAAACAATATTTGTGGATGGTTTTACCTTAAAACCAACTTTGTTGTTAAGACACGAATTCCAATCAGCCTTCATTTCCTTCAGGGGAACGCGGTCATGTGGCCTATCGGTTAAAGGTTACATCAGCATCAAATCAGAAATACAATGGAATATAACAAGATAAAACTATGAGAAGTGTACCGTTTTGGTCCTGACATGCATGGCTCGACTTCTGCTAAATCCAGCTCAAGATATGATGAATAAACTCTATCTTGTTGAGGCTGATGCAAACAAAATTTAATTTATATCAGAATGTAAATGCCAATATTACAGGTAAACGGAATAACTAGAAAATGACAAGTTTCAACCTCACTGTAGTCAACAAACATCTTATTTGCCCGTAGATATTGCTCAATCATAGAAACCTGTTATTAAAAGAAACACAAATTTTACTGATAGTCAACCTGTTGTGAAAACTAATATGGTTCTAAAAATCCAATGATAAAAGAGAAAGAATAAGGTAAGTGTTGTAACTCACAGTCTCATCACTTCTTCCAGTCAATTTTAGGTAATCCAAAGTAACATGATCCACAGGGAAGAAACCCATAGTTGCCCCATATTCAGGAGACATGTTGGCAATAGTAGCCCTATCAGCAAGTGACAACTGACCCACTCCCTGACCTGTACATGCAAGAAGAAACAGAAACTTCCATAATGACCCTGCTAACTTAATAACCACCCTCCTCATCTTTGTGTGTAACCATACAAAAACTTACCATGAAACTCGACAAACTTGCCAACAACACCATGCTTCCTCAACATTTGTGTTGCTGTCAAAACCAGATCTGTGGCTGTGACACCATCACGTAGTTTACCAGTCATCTTGAATCCAACAACACCAGGTAAAACCATGCTCATGGGCTGTACACTCAAACCCACACAATGTTAGGGGGTAAAATTCAAACCTTCTTTCAAAGGACTTCTAAATCTAAAATAAATAGGGGGGGGGGGGGTGTGGAGGGAAGACAGCCTGTAGAGTTAGGTAATTTTTACATACTTTAGTATTAACACAGGGATAAAATATTTTTAAATTTTGCATGTAAATCCTCTTAACTTCTTTTAATAATATTATTATTACTACTGCTACTCAAAACAGTTGCTGCTTATGTATAAATATAATAAATAAATAAACAAATTAGTTAAATATAAGGATTACACATGGTTAAGCAGCTCATGTTATACAAAGCCACTCCTATACGAAAGGGTATGTATATAAATCAACTAGCAAATTTTTTTTTTTTTACAATTTTACCTCTTATTTTCTTATGTCATTAAGTCAAGCTGCTCACTTAATTCCAACATTTACAGTGACAACATTTACTGATAGTAAATTATTCATTACAATGGAAATTGGAAAGCCAAAAAAAATGTTAAGCACCACCTACCTGACCAAGCATAGTTGCCTCAGCTTCGATTCCTCCAACACCCCAACCAGCAACACCTAGCCCGTCAATCATAGTTGTGTGTGAATCGGTACCAACAACACTATCTGGATAAAGAAGTCCCTCGTTGTTGAAAACAACTCGTCCAAGATACTCCAAATTGACCTGTAATTTCATGAAACAGCACAGCCAATTAACATAGTTTGCTAAAAACCATCAAGTCCAAAATCAAGATTTCAAGGAACTTGAAACCTTAATTCATAAACATATCCACTCATAATCAAAATGTAAAGTCCTTTCATCCAATGAAATTGGAAAAGTTATGAGTGTCAACGAAAAATCGGGGAATTTGGGTATAGGATGTATACATTTTACAACAAACTATTCCCTCCTATTACCATATATTAAGCTTATTATAATAGTTGGACTTTATTCCTATCATCCAATTCAGTCAGCAAACCTTGGATTGATTAATAAAAATTAGCCTAAATTACCTCATTTCACCATAAGTTGTGTCGATAATCATGCGTTTACATATTGTGACAACACACACACATAAACACACAGAGAGAGACCAAAAAAAACAAAGAAGGAAATAGGCTCTATTCAATCAGCCAAATCCTAAAAGTCAACGTTAAACAGGAGGATCAAGAAAAAAAATTACATCAGCAACAGATATTGAAAAAAAAAAATATATATATATATATATATAATTGCCAACTCCTTGGTCTTTCGGGATGGCCCAGGAGTCTTCTATTTCAAAAGAAATTATTAGAGTATAAAAGCAAAGAGGAACGAACAAAAGGACAAGATGATGAAGCCAGTATGTTGCTAGTAGACCACAGGACAGTAAACAAACTAAATAATACATTAAAAAATCATAATGTCCTATTAAACACTCCGGTGACATAAATCAGGCCTTGCAGCTAATCAAATCCAGAATTACTCTTACCTGGTGCACAATTCCAGAACCAGGTGGAACAACAAGCATGTTACGGAAAGCAGTTGATCCCCATTTTAGGAAACCAAACCTCTCTCCATTCCTCTTAAACTCGAGTTCCATATTTGCCTGAACTGCGTTCTCAGACCTTGCTACATCAACTTGCACTGAATGATCAATGACAAGATCCACAGGAACCTGTCATGCAAAGTAAGGGAAGTAAATTTAAGAATACAGCAGAATTTTTTTTTTAAAATGCAATTTACTAGTTAAATGCTCAAGATATAAAATGTGTGCCTGGAAAGCACAAATACTAGTCTAAGGCACAACATTTGTTTGTTGGATTAAGGGCATAAATAAAAACCATGACTGCTATTAGAGATAACAGGGAATGTTTTATATAATATTCTTTATCACCGCCACTGAACTATGATTTTCAGGCTTGTCATAAACATAGAATAAGAAACGAACCAATGGATTGATCTTGTTAGGGTCATTGTTAAGGTTCTTCATGGCATCCCTCATTGCAGCCAAGTCAACCACAGCTGGCACACCAGTAAAATCCTGGAAAATAAAAACAAAGCTGATGTATCCGTAAGTTGAATACACATTCTGCATGTATAACTCAATATAATACATAAACTTAGTAACAAACCTGTAAAAGGACACGAGCGGGTTTAAAGGGAATTTCAACTAGCTTAGGTGCTGAGTTTTCCCAGTCAATGATTTTCTCAACATCCTCCTTTGTAACTTGAAAGCCATCGCAGTTACGAATGGCTGACTCCAAAAGGATCCGAATAGAGTAAGGTAACTTCTCTGGGAAATAAAGCAATCGAGTCAAAAGAAAAATGTTAGTGTAACAAAGTAAGCAATAGGTCAAAGTTATAGACTATACCAACAGAGTTCTGAAATCAAACTTACCAACTCTTGGATCGTTTAGACCTGGAAGACTGTAATACTTTCCAAATTCACCACCACCTGGTTTGGGCAAACTGGTGAAGATTTCCTTGTAAGGATGCTCAGCAGCTGAAGAATTATAGAATCAGAAGATTAGACGACTATCAATCAGTTTTGTGAAAGGTTATTCAATTTCATTTAGTTCTTCAACTAAATTGCATAACCTTCAATAGTTTTTTTCATTGTACTTTCAACTAGAAAATTCAACAAATACCAAAAATTCAAAATTCCACAAATTCACAGCAACAATTCAACAACAACCGGATTCCCACATTGTTTTGGCCTAGTGGTAAAGATTAAGCGACGGCATACAACAAGTCACATGTTCAAAACCCCCTCTCTCCCATTTGTAATTTGCAATGCTCTGTTCTAATTTGTGAGTACCATTAAAAACATCATACGATGAAAAATGAATCAAAATTCAATTCCGGAAACTAAAAACACCGCGAAAACCTAAATTTTTCCATCTTTCTCAATCCCTAAATACAGCATCTACCTCTCCATCAACATCAACATACATAATATAATCAATAAATTAAAGTCAATTACTTAAAAAATAAGCCATCCACGATTTATTTATCAATTTTACTTACTTTTAGATCAAATCATACACATCAATTATTATATACAATCCAATAATTACAACTTTTTTTGCAAATAATTACCAAAAAAATGAAATTAGATTACAAATATAGATAAAATTATACCCATAGTTGCGATTCTGCGTTGGAATCGTTCAAGAGGAGTAGGAGGAGAAGAAGCAATCTGAGACCTAATAGTGACCGGAGATCGCCAGTCAGTACCGTGACTCCACCGGGAAGTGGAGGAAGCAATAGATCGGAGACCAGATGAAAATCGGTAACCGGAAACCGGCTGAGATTGAACGGCCGAGAAGATTCTAGAAGAAGGAGAATAATACGACGATGAAGAAGCAGAGGAGAGAGAAAGTAAACGTGCTGCTCTTAGCAATGGAGACAGAGACGACGTCGTTCCTATCATGACGATATTTTTGGGGAAATGAAATAAAATTCAGAGAAAAAAAAATGGCGAAGAAGAAGATGGAAAATGGTGATATTTATGTCTGTTTTTGTTATTTTTTGGGAATATTTTTTCAGCTTTTCGAGGAATTATCTAGTGTGACGCGGCTAGTATGGAGAGGTTTCTGCCGTTGATGGATGAAGAAGGGTAAAAGGACGGATGTGATTTGATGAGAAAGTTTGACTAATTTGAGAATATAAGAATTTTTTTTTTGAATAATATAAGAATATTATTGTAGGCGGTGTTGTGTTTTTTTTTAGGTTGTAAATGTAAAGGTGGGGCAAGCCCGTAAAAGGGGCGCGTGGTTTGCACAAGTTCGGGAAGGAGATATATTTTTTGAATTATTTTTTTGTGACAAAAAAATAAATAAATTGGATATTTCATTTTTTGACTATTCATCATTTAAAAAAAAAAAAAAAAGAAATTGTATATATTTTGAGAATTGCCCCATGACGATAGAATTCGTGCTAAGTGACGTTGAAATGGGCCTTTTGTGATGGTTGATTGATTGATGGTGGTTTGTAATTGTCAAGGGTCAAGTGTAAATTCTAACTTGTTCTCTCGTGAGTTGATAGGGAGAGTAATAGAAATCCCTAGTATAATGGGATCATAAATTGATACTCCCCCGTTTTTATAAGGATTAATACTGTTTTTTAATCCCAACTTTCATCAATTTATTTTTATTAATTCCAACTTTGGATTATTCCTCAATAATCTCAACTATAAGGTAGCCTATCATTCTTCAATCTCAAAAACCGATAACCTGATGAAAGGGTTAAAAAAATTTTAAAAAAATTATTTTACATGTGTCATATGTTAATTGTTTCAAAAAATTAAATAAATTAAATCAAATAAATTAAGAAAAAACAGAAAAACTAAAAATAAAATTTAAAAATTAAAAAACTGAAAAATTAAAAATAAAAAAAAAAAATTCTCCTCCCTACTAACCACCCCCATCCCCCTAGCCCAGCCGGAATCCGTCGCCACCTCGCCAGAAACCTCCCCTTTCCCCTTCCACTCCGACGAAAACAACCACCTTCCCTAGCCCCACCGCCGAAACTACCCCCTCCCTTTCCCCCACCCCCGAAATCGCCTCAATCCAACCCCCTACCATCCGCGAAAGCACCACCCTCCCACCTGCTTGCCCGCTCGTGAAACCACCCCAACATCCCTCCTTATCTTCTTTTCCACCTAGATCCGCTAGTCGTTGGTGGTTTTGGTGGATTCGAGTGTTTCGAGGGAAATAGGTTTTAGCGAAGGGGGCTGGAGTTTCAATGGTTTCGGGAGAAGTTAGGGGTGAAAATGGTGGCTTGATGGTGGTTTCAAGAGAAGAAGGTGGGGGTTGTGAGTGGTTTTGGGGGAAGAGAGTGAGGCTGCGGGTGGTTTTGGGGAAAGGGAGTGAAGTTGCAGGTGGTTTCGGGGGAATTTGGTGGTTTTATGTGGGATTGGGGAGGGAGATGGTGGTTTCCGGTAGGGGCTAGGGAGGAGGCGGTGGGATGGAGGTGGCTGGCTGGTTTTTGTGATTTTTGTTTTTTATTTTTTTAAAATTTTTGGACCAATCAGGACTTGACATGTGTCAAGTGACCTGGTACAACAGGTTAAGAAACCGGTTGGGTATGAGGAATGATAGGCCATATCAAAGTTGAGATTATTGAGGAATAATCCAAAGTTGGGATTAATAAAAATAAATTGGTCAAAATTGGGATTAAAAAATGGTATTAATCCTATTTGTTTTTACCTAAATGTAAATTTCTAGGTAGGAGTCATGCTCTAGAAATCCGTTCAAGGGAGTGTTGTAATACGCATCGTATGCTTAATATGAACGGATTAAGAATACCGCCAAATATCACCACTTAGCTTTCTATGCAAGAGTAAATATTTCTGCTCAAAATATCATGCTCGATTAGACATTTCATGTTTAATATATCGAGCAAACACTTTTAATGCAAGAGTATTATAAATCCTTGCATAATCTGAGAAAAATATACACAACCATTATCGGAGTATTTAAAAGCTTTCTTCTATTCTCTTTAATGAACGTAGAGTCGTAGACCTAACTGTCATTCTGTATTCCTGTTCTTAGTTTCCCGCTCTCTTTCGGTTTCCCACTTTCCCATTAAAGTGCACTCCACGCTCTCCATTGAGGCGACTTCTAAAATCTCTATCCTCCATTGAAGCAGCTTCTGAGGTAAGGTGTTGTTTCTTTTTGAATTCGTCGAATTTCAATTTCACAATTAGGTTTTTTTCGTTAATTTTATTCTCAGTATACTTAATTTTTAGTCGATTATTGAACTATTGGTTGTACTTATAATTAAAGTATCGTGATGAGCGATTTTGTTGCTATAGAAGATAAATTATGTGATTTTTTGAGTCTAATTTGATATTTGACTCAAATTTGCCTTTAATGTTAGGATGGAACTATGAAACTGGACCTCTTCGCTAAAATCATGTGATTTTTCAAGCTAATTTGATAATTGAATCAAATTTGCCTTTAATGTTAGGACGGAACTATGATATTGTACCTTTTCTACCTAAATTCATGTGATTTTTCGAGCCTAATTTGATGAATTGAATCAAGTTTGGTTGCCAATGTGTTGCGGAACCCTTTAATGCTAGAATGAAACTATGATATTGGACCTTTTCTACCCGAGTCCAGGGCAGCCGTCCCTCCTCCCCTGGCTCTCTTCTGTGATGGGACGGAACTGAGTTAATTGTGCTAAATAGGGTATAAAAATTAGTCTCCCATGTACAATGATGATAGGTCAAGGAAAGGAGGCTGAGATCTTTGATCTCGATAATGGCTCAATGCATTTTTAAATCTCAAATTATTCCTTCACCATCACTTCTTTATTAATCCTTGCAAAGATGGTGCGCTTATTTGCAGTGATTTTTTTTTACTTAGATCATAACTATTGTAGGATAGTGTGTACTAAAGATTGGTGTACCATTCCGGGCATGAAAAGGCAAATTAAGCCCTTCACAATTGTGAATTAGTTTTATATAATGAAAATACCAATCTTCTTATAGAATGGGGTTCAATAATTGTAGAATAGTGTGTACTAAAGATCCTTATACCATTCCAGGCACGAAATGGATCCAATGGCACACAAGGAGGGCTTAATTGTGAATTAGTTTTATATAATGAAAACACCAATCTTTATTTTTCCTCATTTTTCACTTTTTCAAGCATTTGGAAAAGGTTCTTTTGCTTCAATTGCTTCAATTTGGTCTGGATGATTAGCTTTTGATGATTTCTAAGTCTACGATTTTTAGTTTTAAAATCAATTTCATATCATTTTTTAAAGTTTTTGCTAGATATATGTTTAATTTCTATAATATAGTATCAATTGATTTTTTCATCATCAAGATGACAATTTTTTCCTGAAATCGCTGAAGTGTTGTGCCAGAGCTTCAAGATGTCACTAGATATTATATGTCCACTCTTCCTCATCTTATGGTTAAATTGGTTTATGGTTAAATGTATTCTATGTTAATGCAAATGCTTTACTTTTTTTCGCGACAATATTTGAGTTGAATCAATTGCTTTGTGTGCTATTGACACACATTGAATTATATAACTTAGAAAAAGCTTAATACAGATTTATATCCATAAATCTAAATTTAAGGTTTAATATCAGAACAAAGATGTATGGTGAGGACAATGTGAATAGATTATTGTGTTTATCTTCGTCTTAAAATTAAAATATTTCAGAAACAAGGATATAAAATGAATAAATATAATGGTAAAAATTGTTCTTTAATTGAGCATTATTTCCTCCCTTAAAAAGTTTTGTGAATCTAAAATCTAACCAATTCAATTGAAATTGCCTCTGTAAGGTACTAAGGTGTACCTACATTTTTTTAATTCCTTTGTTACGGAAAGGGACATCACTTGAAATTATAATTAGCAATTTAGCATGAAAGTTAAATCATTTTTCAGCATTTTAGTCTCTGTTTATATAGTTCTAGTGAGCGCCTTAAATCGGTTGTTTTCAATTTCTGATATTTTTCTCTTTGCATATATAGTTAGTGACTTTTGAGTTAATTTCTCTTATCGGGTCATCCCATGATCTTCAATATGAAGCTTTGGGTTGCCAGTGATGTTTGGGCTTACTCCAAATTCTGGTAATTTTTCTCTTATGCTTTCTGATTTTGTGCTTTGAGTCCTGAATTTATGTCGCTCATTTTGATTAATTTATTTTTTGCTGATAAGGAAATTTTTGGTCCTTAATTACCAGGTGCCTTGCTTAAGATGTCACGTGAAGAGTATTTCAACTTTTCAAGCCTGGCTTTCAATGTATTCCCGGTGAGTACATTGACTTTCCTTGATTTTTTTTTATTCCCCTAAATTTTTGGGTTTGGGTTTTCAGGTTTCATGCAGAAATTCCCATGTGAAATTCGAAATATTCCAAGTTTCGTTCATCTCAATGCTTATGTTTCTGATTGTTTGTTTATTGTTATTGGGGTTAGAGGAGGCATGACCACATGAGGGCTTAGATGTTTTATCATAATAATCAAGGCACTTTTTTGTTGAGTAATATTATTGTATGTGATTCACACATATTGTTTAGCAATATTATTGTGTGTGATTTTTAGAGTTGTGTAATGCCACTACAGTGTATTTTGTGAGTTTGATGTTTGTAGCAGTTTAGTTTGACTTTGCTGTTAGATTATGCATCTTTAATTTAATAATTTACTAATAAATATGTGAGTCATGTTTACCCCTTCCTCCTGAATAAGGAGAAACGAAAATGTCAATGCTTTCTCTTCGCTAATAAGCTTTCTAAGATTATAACTACAAGAGCTTCCAATTTAATGCTTTGAAATCTTTGTGATCACGTGGTAACACCATTATCAGTGCCAACACCGTAAAATATGAGTGATAGGGAGAGGATGAGGGTAAGAGAAGGTGAAAAAGAGATAGAGGGAGGGGGGAAAATGTACCACTTTTAATACTTCATCCGTATTTTTAAATGCATCATTTGCAACAACATGGACTTCCAATGGCGGACCCACATGTAGTCATTGTGGGTCACGTGACAACCTATTATCTTTTAAAAAATAAAAATAAATAAAAAATAAAAAATTTAGCACATTTTCACGGTATGACTCCTTCACTCCTTCCTCTCTCTCAGTCTCTCTTCTCCCACCTCCCAGAGTTCCAGACTCCCAGTACACGGCCTCCTCTCTCTCTCTCCTCCATTGAAGCGTACTCGAAATTCTCCATTGAAGGGGCTTCTGAGCTTTCTCTCCTCCACGGCTCCACTGAAGTAGTCTCAAAGGTTAGATCTTCTTTTTCTTTAATCATTGACCTAACTTAATAAATTAATTGTCACTATATACTCAATTTAGGATTTTAGGGTTCTTCGAAGTTGGATAATTGTGGGTTGATAATTGAGTCAATTTTGGTTGCTAAAATGCTAATGTGTTGCAGGGTTTGGTTTGTGGAGCGCACTCGAAATTCTCCATTGAAGCGGCTTCTGAGTTCTGACTTTCTGAGCTTTCTCTCCTCGACTCCTCCATTGAAGGCTTTGAAGCAGTCTTTAAGGTTAGATTTTGACAATCTAGTGTTATTGTGTTAATCGTGTATTTAATTGTCCGCCACTGAGTATATACTCAATTTAGGGTGGTTTCGGTGGTGGTGCAGGGGGAGGGGGTGGCTGTCGGGGCTGGGCCTGGGGAGTGGCTGTCGGGCTCACGGGCTGGGTCAGGTACTCCGTACTCAGGTGGGGAATTGTTTAATTAATTTGCATCAATTGCATGTTCAGTGAGGTTGGAAGGCTTGGAGGTGTGAGTGTGTCACAGTCATGGAGTGGGTTTCATCAATTAAGGAGAACATAAAAGACACATACAGTGGTGGGACAGTTTTAGGAGTGTAGGGTATTTGGATAAATCGAAATGCATGGGTCTTACCTTATTATGACTCAATTTCAGGTGTGATTACATTGATTAACTCAATTTTATTTGTCTGGAATTTTGAGATTTGTGATGGTTTGTGGATTTTGATTATTAGTGTTAAGTTTAGTGATTCTTAAGACTTGTTTATTGAGTTTAGGGGCTGTTTAAAGGGTGATTTTGGATTGTTGTTCTTGATAGTGTTAGTGTATGATTGGATTGGGTTGAGCTTTGTTGATTGATTGTATGTTTTGGTTGGTTTGATTTTGATGCCATGTTAAGCAATGTAGTTTGGGAGATTCGATATCAGCTATTGTAAGTTTATATGATTTAATTGGAGATTGCAGCTTGATTGAAGAACATGTAGAGAACAAAAAGGTTTTTGAGATTTTTTAGTATGGGAAGTGATTGGGTTAATGAAGTATAATAAAGTGTTGGTCTTGACTAATGGCTGTTGCAGAAGTTTTGGTCCTAGAGGAACTGTTCTTATCAAAAAGATCCAAGAAGAGGACTTGCAATGGAGAAATTCTCACCCTTGTTAGCCTAAGAGGGGTATTCCTTCTTTCCCCTCCTTTCAAATTAAGTAGTCAATTTACTTGCTTATTTTTGTGGAAATTTTTTTTTTTTGTTGAATTATTATTTGTTGTTCGTTTACTGTTCTTTTCATTCAGAGAGTATAAGGTATTGTTCTTGTTTGATGATTAGAGTTGATTTTATTGATGATAAATTTCTCAATTATTAATTTACAATTGATACGGAAAAAAAAAATGATTGGCATTGAAATTGTTTGTCAATTTTTATTGAATTATATGTGGTCGGTAAACGTTGGTGACACACTATCCGTTACATGCTGGATCCGCCACTGCGGACTTCTATGCATTTTTTGGAGACGCGAGAGATAGAGATAGAGAAAAAAGAGGGCCCATGTGATATGAGAGATAGATAGAATTTATTAACTAAAAAGGATAGTGATGCATCTAATTTGAAACTTCCTTAAAGTGATCGATCAATCAATCAATCAAAGCCTTAATCCCAAAATTTGATTATTTCGTGTAGTCATCGACAAAAATCTTCCTCCTCCATCCCTTACGATCCAATGCATCATCCTCATGCAAATCCATATACTTCATATCCTACCTAACTCCTCTCCAAGTCATTTTCGGTCTCCCTCTCCCTCGGCTAACCCCTCCATGGTCCCACTTTTCCACTCTTTGTATCAATGCACCATCGGGTCTCCGTCTTACATGCCCAAACCAATGCTTGCCACACCTACTTTATTGCGGATAACCTCATTTCTGATTCTATCTCTTAGAGTGTTCCCGCACATCCACCTTAACATGCACATTTCTGTAACCTCCATATTTTTAATGTGTTCCTTCTTAGAATCCTAACATTCTGTACCATAGAGCAACACCGGTCTTACGGCAGTCCTATAGAATTTTTCCTTTAAATGTAAGGGAATGCTTCGGTCACATAACACTCCCGTGGCCGCTCTCCATTTAAGCGACCCCAACTTAATCACTTAATCCTGTGGGCCACGTCTTGATCAATGTCACCATTTTTTTGAATGATCAACCCATGATATTTAAACATTCACTCATGGTCAAGTCCTTTCATCCAAACTTCCTTAAAGTGATGCATCTAAAAAAACGGAGGTAGTAGAATATTTTGAATCATCAATTCTCTTAGATCACTTTACCATACCAATTTGTAGGAAGAGGAAACTGATGAAAGGTCATGGGAGGACTACAAGGGATGGCGGAGAGGGGGAGGGTGAGAGAGGGGAGGCTGAAATGTCGAGAGAGGCAAAGCACATAACAACATTACTAAATTCTCCATCTTAGCACTATTGTCTTGTTCATCTCTCTCCTTGCTATCACTAAAATGCACGTGGCCCCTCTTCAATTGATTACACCACTTCAAAGGTATTTCATGATGTATGCTTTTGGGCAGCATATAGAAGGATAAAGCAGGTAGCAGGACTTCAGGGTGGCTAGAAACAAACTTGTGACTAATTATCATGACTAGAGCCAACCTTATGACTAACTTTTACATAAATTTTTGTGGAATTTTCTTTTTTTTTTTTTTTAGAATGGGTAATGTGTTTGAGTAAAATACCAAGGGGTAGAGTGAAAAGTTTTTCTTGAATCAGAAACATTCCCACCACTGTTATGCTTACAGGAATTATTCAGAATGTGGATCTGTGGACTGTATTATAGAAATATTTGACTAATGCTCGTGTATTGATGCTGCCTATTTTTGGGCTATCTCATTTTTTCCTCTTCCTATCAGCTCTGAATTTACAAACGAGTTCTCATTGCCAAAATAAACAAATGACAAATTTGTAACAGCGTTTGGGTTAGTTGAATATCAGTTAATCGAGTGTCACCAAACATTCACTCTTAATTTAATCGTCTAAAGTAGCTTCTAATGCTTTATTAATATTAGTTTTTGACTGGATTTTGGATTTGATTTGAAGTGTTTTTGTCTTCTTTGCAATGGGTTTGGTTAGTCTCTTTTGATGAATTCGATTTTTAGCTCTTTTATTTATTTTTTATTTATTTTTTGTTTTCTGTTTGTTGTTGTTGTAAGTTTCCTTTTCTCATTAGATCCTGAGGGAGCAAGAAAATTTCTGGAATATGGCGTTGTTTCTAATATTAATTGAAGGTCCGGGGATTTAACTCCTTGACCACTCTCAAGGTAAATCCCTCACATCATGTCTGTGATAAAATCTTATTTTCTTTAATTTATAGTTGCATTTAAGTGCATGCCGCAGTACAAGAGAGGATACCTATGGAGCATGACTTTCACATCCTACTGTGTAGAATTTTTTTTTTTTTTTTTTTATAATTTTAGTTGTATTTATCATGCCTAGACTCTAGAGTCTGTAAGGAGGGCGGAACTATTATTTGTTGGATTAGGAGATGATGCGTATGCTTATGAGATTTAAACACACACAAGTATAATTCAAGCCTAATTCTCTATAGGATTCGTCCACCAAGAATTAAATAAGAAGACAAGTAGATTAAGTAAGTTAAAGGCCACGCCACCCCTTAATTAATCAACTTGAACAAAGCTTAAAGAACTTAATCACCGGCTTTAAGGAACGAATGTTTTAATTGCAAAACAAACAAATACTTTGATTTAATAATCTGAAAAATTCTATATCCCAAAAGTCATGAAATTACAACTATTTATAGACTAAAAACTAACTAATTCTAAGTGTAATAGGACTAGGACAAGCCCCTAGCCTTTAGCTCCAAGTAACCCAAATAGAATAGGAAAACTAATTCTACTTAGATTAGGAAACTAGTAGTAAGACTAGTTTGATTTAGTCTATAGTTCCTAAATAAATAACATAAATCCTAAATGCTTAAACCAAGGAAAACCTTTTCAAGTGAAAGGTAAAAACTTGCAAGCAAAAACTAATTAAATAACATTAAGTAGAGTGAGTAGAGTATCCGAAACTTTGAGCTTGTACTAGACACCAAGTTCCTTTGCTTGAACCGTCCAAGAATCGCCAATTTGTAGCTTCTAATGAGTAAATGTTCAAGTTTAGGTTTTCGTTGTAAAGATTTAACAAACTCTCGAAATTCTCATCAATATCTGGATCAGGAGAGGCCAAAAGTATTATATACATCTTAGCTTTGGTTATACTTTGTTGTTGCAGACAATTACATAGGAAATGATTTGCTCACCATCTTTGGATACAGGCTGCCCATTTATAGTTATTTGGTGATAGTTTTCTAATTTAGGGGTAATTTTTGTTTACCAGTTTTGACTCTTTTGACTTGAGTAATGATGCATAGTTATTCTGTTTTGATGTTGAGGCATCGTGAACATTGTTAAGTTGTTATTAGAGGGGGAGTTTGTAAGTTGCATGCTGTGTATCAATGTCGGGAGGGTTTGTAGATGGTATGGTTTAATCGTATTGAGGCTGCCGTTGTGTGCGAGTATTTGGAAGACTGAAAGAGTGCATGTCTTTTTATTTACTTAAATACTTTTCATACAACTTTGCTGCTCCTTGAAACTCATCTTGCATCTTTTTGATGGCCTCACTCTTTCATCTCCTCCACTTAAATTCAATTATATCCTCTTGAACATGTTTGTTACCGACTAAACTGGTCGATTGGGATACCTAGAACAATATAAGTGGATTCTTTTCACAACTTTAATTCTAGAAGCAATTTAAATTGGAAAACGTAACTACCGATTGTGGAAAAAAATAAGAACATGCCAAATAAAAATGGACAAGAATTGGGGGAAAAAACCAACATATTGTACACTTTTTGCATAGTTGTTGTGCTCAAAATATATGATGCAGGTCTCTTGCCCAAATATGGGATTGACAAAACTAACTTAACTTGCTATAGGTTGTGCAACCAAGCAGCCAAATTCAGTTGCTTATGACTGGGGTTTCTCTGCACTTTGCTGCTAGACATGAAGAACAACTATAGCTATAGGTTGTGCAACCAAGTAGCTAAATTTGTCTTCAATGGCGGCGACAATGTATTTGCAGAATCTCTTGCAATATTGTGCAAGAAACTGTTTAATTGTTGAAGGAAAAGCTTGCCATGCTCAAATCATTCGAGCTGGTTTAGGGGTTGATACTTTGACATCAAATATGCTGATCAATATGTACTGCAAATGCGGCCTTCTTCACCCTGCTCGTCAAGTGTTCGATAAAATGCCTGAAAGAAGTTTGGTTTCTTGGAACACTATGATTGGGGCACATACCCAGAATGGAAGGGCAGATGATGCTTTATCCCTCTTTGTACGGATGCAAAGAGAGGAATCCCCTTTGAGTGAGTTTACTGTCTCCAGTGTGCTTTGTGCTTGTGCAGCGAAATCTGCCATTTTTGAGTGCAGACAACTGCATGCTTTTGCTGTTAAGAAGGGGATAGAGTCTAATGTGTATGTTGGGACTGCTTTGATTGATGTTTACTCGAAATGTAATTTTATGGGGGAGGCCTCGTGGGTTTTCGAGAGCTTAGAGGAGAAGAGCGATGTGACATGGAGCTCAATGGTGGCAGGTTATGTTCGAAATGAGCTCTATGAAGAGGCTTTGAGGTTGTATCATAGAGGTCAAGCTGTTGGGTTAGAGCAAAACCAGTTTACCCTTTCTTCTGTTTTTTCTGCTTGTACAGGGTTAGGTGCTTTGACTGAAGGGAACCAAGTGAATGCCACTTTGTTTAAGTCCGGTTTTGGTGCAAGCGTTTTCGTGGCTTCCTCTCTTGTAGATATGTACGCAAAATGTGGAGCCATTAAAGAAGCTTATACTGTATTTTCTGATCAATATAGCAAGAATGTTGTTTCATGGAATGCAATGATTTCAGGTTTCTCTAGGCATGGTCGGTGCTTGGAAGCGATGATTCTTTTTGAGAAGATGCAGCAGACAGGTTTGTACCCGAATGAAGTGACTTATCTCTCAGTTCTATCTGCGTGTGGCCATATGGGGCTAGTTAAAGAAGGGCAGAAATACTTTGATCTTATGGTGAGGGAACACAACATATCACAAAGTGTTCTCCATTATTCTTGCTTGGTGGACATCTTCGGTCGTGCTGGATATATTCAAGATGCATATGATGTGATTAAAGCTATGCCATTTGAAGCAACTGCATCTATGTGGGGTTCCCTGTTGGCATCTTGTAGAAATTTCAAGAATCTTGAGCTGGCCGAGATCGCAGCTAAGCATTTGTTTGAGCTTGAACCCACCAATGCTGGGAATCATGTATTGCTTTCTAACATATATGCAGCAAACAAGAACTGGGAAAAAGTTGCTAAATCGCGGCAGCTGCTTAAGGAGAGTGAAGCTGTTAAGGATCTAGGTAAAAGTTGGATCGAGATTAAAGGTAAGGTCCATAGTTTTATGGTTGGAGAACGAGAACATCCTCAGATTGCTGAGATTTATTTAAAGTTGGACAAATTGATGGAGGAGATGGAGAAGTTGGGTTATAAAGTTGAGATGGCGCATGACCATCATGATGTGGATGATAGCAATAAAGAGATGTTGCTGAGACATCATAGTGAAAAGCTTGCATTCACTTTTGGGGTCATCAGTCAGCCCCCTGGTGCACCTATCAGGATCATGAAGAACTTGAGAATTTGCGGTGATTGTCATAATTTTATGAGGTTTGCGTCGATCATTACAAAAAGGGAGATCATAGTCAGGGACTTGAACCGATTTCACCATTTTAGTAACGGTTGTTGTTCCTGTGGAGATTTTTGGTGACTGATCATGCTGCTTGCTACATGCCATTCTGATTGTATTTTTTTGCTACAGATGTGCAACCAAAAACTTGTTACAGAATTGCAGAATGCAAAAGAGGATATCATACTTTGATCCTACGTTACAAGTATCATTAGAGTATGTTTTTGCTTCTGTGCTAGCTGTATACTGATGCTAATATTGACTTCTTGATGGAAATACAGGTTAATTCAGATATCTGACCTTGGTTGAGTTGGTTCTGCTTTCTTGGCTCAGCTGCTGGTCCAGCAGTGGTTGAACAAGCTACTTTTACCTTACTGCTCGCATTTGTGACACTGCCATCAGACAATTGCGAGCCTGCAATACTCACTTTACCTCATTGCACTTGGGACAGGTTGCTTGAAGTCAAGTCTTTCACGTTTTGGAGCAAATCAGTATGATGAAAGTGATGAGAAGGAAAAGGCTAACTTGGCCTATTTTCTCAACAGATTTATCTTCTTTATTAGCATAGGAACTCTAGTAGCAGTTATATTGCTTGTATATGTTCAAGAGGAATTTGAATAATTTTTTTTTTTTTTTTTGAGATGGAATTGTATTTTTACACTCATTTACTAATGAAAATGTCCAACTGGCCTTTTTTTTTTTTTTTTTTTTTTTGAAAAATACCACCAACAATTATACCCATTTTTTACAAAACCACCAACAACCCTTATTTTTTTTTATTTTTATTTTTATTTTTTTTTTTTTTTTTGTATTGTATTGTATTTTACTGCCAACTATTCTTCAAAACCTTAAAAACTACCACCATGACGTCACTGTGGGCCCTCTAACTACCTTCTTCTTAATTTCCCTCCTTTTCCCTCTCTATTCTCATGATTCTCTCCCCTGTTCCCCAATTACTTCCCTCTCCTTTTTTTTTCTTTTTCTTTTGCAAATTACTTAGACAATAATTAGGGTTTAAATCTGTAATTTGTTCTTCATCAAGCCAATAAAAATGCAAAATCGAGTGCATAATCATGTTATTAGGAAGGTATGTTTAATTAGGGTTTTTGAAATCAATTTGGGGGTTTTTCAATTGAAATTAGGGTTTATAAATTACATTTGGGGTTTTGATTCTGGGGTTACATTGTATCAATATTGGTTCTTATCTTGCGATTTGTTGGTAATTAAGGATGCAATTTGATCTTTGTACGAAATTTAAGGTTTGCCACAGTCAATTAAAAAACAAAAATTACCTCAATTTTGTCCTTTCCCTCACTAACTTTCAACACTAGAATCTAAACTTTGGTCCCCCCACTCCAATGCAGTTGATTTGGCTACGCTTTTGGTCCTCCCCCCCCCCCCCCCCCCCCGGATTTTTACAGAGAAAAGTACTGAAAACCCTAATTTTAGAAAGAAAGAAGAGAGAGAGAAAGGGAAGTGATGAATGTAGTGTTTCACATTCAATGAGAAAAGAAGGAATGTTAATGAGGAAAGAGGGAAGTAATGGGGGGAACAGGGGAGAGAATCGTGAGAATAGAGAGGAAAAAGGAGGGAAAATAAGAAGAAGGTAGTTGATGGGGCCCATAGTGACGTCATGATGGTAGTTTTAAATGTTTTGAAAAATAGTTGGTGGTAGTTTTTAGGGTTTTGAAGAATAGTTGGTGGTAAATTTAAAAAAAAAAATAAATAAAAAATAAAAAAATTGTTGGTGGTTTTGTACAAAAATGGGTATAATTGTTGGTGGTATTTTTCAAATTTTCCTTATAAATATGCATGGTTCTGTGTACCAATTTAGGGGAAAATGCGAAAAAAAAAATGTTGATCTTGGGTAAAGCTGATCATGGGCCGTGCTGGCCCGCGACTGGCACAGGCACAACACGACATTGGCCTAACACGACACGATCCCGCCAGTGGCACGGCACGATGACCGAAGAGTGGCTGCAGGCCGTGCCGTGAACAAAGTTTGGAAATTTCGGCACGAGCCCGCGGGCGGCACACCAATTTGGCTCGTGGCACACGACACGTCACGGTTAAAACAACTATTTTCCAACGTTTTATAAATACATCACTTCATCATTCAATTTTTTTCACAAATCATTCTTCAACTCATCTATTTTCTTATTCTCTTATTATATATTTATATGCATTGTTGCTTTTTGCTAAATAATAATAAAGATGTATAATAATAAAAAAAATAAAATAATTATAATAAAAATAACATAAATAATAATAAAGAACTATAATAATAAAAATAAGAATAATAAAAAGAACTATAATAATTTAATAATAACAAATATAAACATAAATTAATAAAATTATTTAAATAATATATCGATTTTAAAATAAAAAAAATTATGGGTTGCCCGGTGCCCAGCCCAACATGACACGCCAGGTGCAGACACCTGATTGTGTCTCCCCAAAAACCAAACCCAGTGATGAATACCTTTCACGTCTTTGATAAACGAGTTTCGTAAAGAGTTGAAGAGTCTCGTGATTCCCTTAAGCCTTGACCATATTCCTAACCTTATCTAAAATGTTTTAATTCAAAATCATTCATTTCGTGTCCTCAAAATCATTCATTTCGCGCCAAAAGCACAAAAATATCCAAACCTGATTATTTTGGTCCATATTCTTGGTCTAATTATTGTTTAATTGGATGAGGTTGAAAAGAGCTTTTCAACGATATATTATATGCCCAAATCCGACTTATAACGAATAAGTTATGGCCAAAATTCTAAACCGAGCCCAAACCAAGTCTAGGTCTACCTTACCTACGACCCAATGATCATATGAGGGTCCAAATACCATATTTCCAATCCTAAACCAATTAGGACTCTTCTAGAATTCTCTAGAAGGTTCTAATCTATCCTTTCCGAAAAAAATAAAGATCAAAAGAGTTAAAGCCGAATAAAACTTCTTATATGATAATCCTTACCCCGTTCAAATTAAATGACGTCTGGATGTATTTCACAAATTCAATTTTATTAGAAATCAAACTCCGTACAAATTTATTATCTTCAAAAATCATCGCAGAATGACAAAACCAATGCGACACGTCAGCTTCATCGTGCCCCGATGAAGTCTTGCGCGCCACGACAATTCTGTCGTCCCGCGTCAAGAGCAGTTCTATTCTATTCCAAATTCTCATCTTTTCTGATCGTCCAGACTCTCTTTTTTCCCTATAAATAGAGGTTGGTTTCCTCGTTTCAGATCGTCAACAATTACCATCAATAACCATCATAATACCCGGAATTCTCAATTCCAATGTTCTTAGCCTTAGCCTATCAAACATATCCTTGATACTCTCCCAAATCAATCACGATACCTCATTCACGAGATTCAAATACTCTAAGTCATCATCGATGTTGCCTTCGACCTCGATGTGAAAGGTTGATAGTTCTGAGGGTTTGGTCCCAAATCTATATTTCAATTCATATTTGATTTATTTACTTTATTGATTTAACTTTCTTGAAGTTTACTAACGTGTGTATTCTTTTAATAGCAAGAAGGTTGAGGAATCAATGTGAGTAATTCAATCACCCTTATTATTTTTCTTTGATTTTGGAGTAGAAATCATGTTTACAGTGTTATTATATTAATTCCTAGTACCATGTTTAGGATGCTTATTATGATTTCTAGTATCATGTTTAGGATAACGCTTTGATTTTGTTATTAGTGACATGCTAAGTTTTATTATTAATTTGTTTCGTATCATGCAGGATCTTACTATTAACAATATTTTGATGATGTTCTTATGATGATGATTATTGTATTAATCATATGTTGCTTGATTATTCTTTGATTTATTGTTATTGCTTGATCATACCCCTTTTTGCAGGTTTAAAGGGAATTTCTACTTGAAATCACGCCTAATAAGATAATTAATAATTTGATTTAGGCTTTATATGATTTTAATTCAAGTGATCACCAATAATAGATTTTATTGTGCATTAATAACCAACCAATGTAGATAAGCAGGTTTAGGATTAACTTGACGTATGTATGTTGATCGAAAAACGCACATGAATATCATAAGAATTAAATAGTGGCCTATTTAGGCGGGTTCAATCTCTTTAAGGTTGGATTTGTACCATCATCCCCAAACATCTAGTCATGGTTTCGGACCACTATGGAGTTAGCGATCTCTGTTATCGTGAATGGGGTGTAACCTTCACACCCATGAACGGTGTACAAGTTCCTAAAACTTGTTGGCGACTCCTTTTCTCTAGCATATTTTCTTTGCAACGCCGCCATGCCTAAAAGCATGAACCGCAGTGGGGCGAGAGTTGAAAAATTCCCTACAGCTTTTGGCGACTCCACTGGGGAGGATTTCTAAATTGATTCCTAATTTGTTTAGCAATTGATTTATAATGAGTGGATGAGACTTGAAAGATTCTAAATATTCATGTGCGTTATTTTAATTAACATTGTGGCATAAGAATAAAAAGGTACCCATTGGAAAGACCATTCGTAATGCGTCAAAAACATAGGATATACACGTAGGAAAGGCCAGAAATATTTTTCACAACTAAAATCGAAAAGACGCTACGAAAAATCGGAAAAAACATCGAAAATAGAAACTGTCGCAGAGCGTCAGAACCATCGCGAGGCGTTAGTGACCAACGCCAAACGACGGCACCATCGCATCGCGACAATGCTGTCGCCGGACGTTGGACCCTGCCGTCCAGCGATACGATCTGGTGATTCTGCGCCAGAATTCTGTATTCGAGTTTGGCCCGATTCTAGTACTATCTCGACGATTTTATTTCCTAATTAAGTTTTTCCGACTTTTTTGAACCCATATGTGTTTTACATATGGTTTTGGCCCTTGGGAATTCACGCTCCGTCCACCCTAATAAACGCTCCGTGCACTAATGGGTGCATCTGGGTTTGTTGACTTCACCAAACCATGAAGTTGAGTTTAACTTGCAGGGTCCCGTCCATCGTGCCAACCCTTCTAAGGTAAGGCTTCTGCACGATGCATCCGGACTCTTAACCATGGACCCTCTTGGACACCATAATCCTTGACCTTAGAGAAGTAGAGCCATGGTTAGGTGGCAAACTCATTGCATCATATTGTGACTACTTGTGCATATCATCCTTGTGCATCCTTTATTTGTGATTAAACTAACCCTTTGTGTTGACTTGTTTCTTGTACATAAGTCTAAACATACTAACCAAGGACTAAAAGGACTTTGCTTAATTAATTTGGTTAATCAATATGAACCCATAAAGTCTAAATATGCTCGACCTAGAAGACTTTTAAGCTTAAACCTTCGAAAGAAGTACTGAAAACAAATCGTCGTAATGCTCCGGTTCTGGCGTATTACTTCACATCTGTAGCACAGAACGAGGCTTACCAACGCGTCACGACAGTGCTGTCATCTCGCGTTGGAACCATCGTTCAGCGACAGTACCATCGTTACGCGATGACTCAGTTATTCCTTTCCGAGTCTTCGCATCGAGTCCCAGTGCTATGATTAACCAGCTTAATGTACATACATGGTCTTTCCCTGGTCTTGTTTGAGTCCAACCACATATTTAGTCCCATGGTCATCACATGAGTCTTAGACATATCTCTTTCACTCACGAGTCCTTGCACACACTTTGTACATGTCCTTATTCACCATGACCATGCTTAGAGTCTTGCATGCGTTGTTTTCAGTCATTATTTTAGGGGGGTAAGTCGGATATTATCCTCCCAACATAAACTATGTTGCTTGAAAACTTGTCTCCCTTACTTGATTCCTACAAATATGCAACCATTTTTGTTTTTTCAACCCTATAAAAGTACGAATCAATTAGAGTCAAGTCATAAAGAGTCAATGGTTAAATTTTTACAGCGTTTGGTCGAGTAAAGCAGGGCGCTTAGTTCGAGATAACTCATACATATAAGAGATCTTCTTCTAGAACACGGTTCGAAGAAAGAGGAAAATGTCGGCCAAACAAGAGGATGTTGACAAACTCCAAAAGACCATGGAAGGTCTTGCTGAACTTGTCAAAGGGCTCACCACTAGAATAGAGAAGTTCGAAGATCCTGACAAACAAGTACCACCTAAGACAATCAAGCGTATCGTAGAGAGCCTAAGTCAAATCTCCAATGACTATACGTACCTTGGCATAAGCTCTAAGGGACTTTTAGTGGACAAAGACCTTCTTCCGCGGAAGTTCTCTGCCAATTACATCCCTAAGTTCAAAGCTACTAACAATCCTTACTTTCACTTGAAGGCTTTTGAGACAATCATGGAGATCAAGGGGATTGATAAAAAGATCTTCCCCTAACTTTTCTCTCTCTCATTGGAACTAGTATGCCAACAATAGTCCTTTTCTATAGGTTCTGAGAAA